AATGAAAATACAGCTCATTTAACATTGTATTGACTGAACAAGCTTTATTATCTAGTACATAGTCTACCATCAATGGGTCAGTTTAGCACAGGGGAATGAACTGCTTAGTAAAAGGGGATGAATTTAAGCAAGTACTAAAAAAATCATGAGTAAAAATCTATGGTAAAGATACAACAAGTGACTAATAGGAATGTAGAGTCAATAAGAGGGATAGAGAGATTTCCCAAAAGATATGTATAAACGAAGACTTAAGATGAGCATGTGTCAGCCTGGGGTTAGTGGGCATTTAAGGCAGAAGTAAGAGTAAATATAAAAGCACTAAAATCACCTTGGTCCATTCTGAAAACTCCAAGAAGTTCAGAAAACAGAAATGCATATATATATATATATACTGGATGCACTAGATTATAGACAGTCTTACATGCCTTTCTTTAGGGATAAAGAAAGTGAGCAATCAAAAACATATTTAGGACCCTGAGTTGATTAGATATGGTGATAACTCCTAGGTTTCTGGCTTGGGCAGCCAGGAAGAAAAGTAGAGGGTAAATACTTTAGAAATCAGAGAAAACAAACTTAAAACAAAAGGAACAAACAGAAATTAAAGGTAAAAATTTGTTTTACATGTGATGAAGTGTTAATGAGAAATTGAGTGGAGGAGTATAGCTAGCTACAGGCAATTGTTAACCTTGAAGACTGGTTCACTACAAAGTGCCAGTCAGTAGAGGTTAAGCCCTCAACAATGGCTCATAATCCTATTTATACCCTTGGTTAAGAGTTCAGTTATATTCCTAAAACACAAATCTGATCATGCTAGTCTCTGAAATATTTAAGACCAAAATGAAACAATATATTTAATCCATTAATAGCCTTGTGACCTCAGAAAGAGGATGCCAATTAGACTTGGTGATTATGTAGCACATAAAGTTCAGACTGTGAATTCAGAACACCGAGCTAGTAACTCAGATACACAACTAATTAAATTATAAACTACCCTGGGCACATCACCCATCGCCTAAGCTTCAACTCTCTCCTGTAAAAAGTGAGTAACTATTTATCTCCTGAGTTGTTCTGAAAAATCAGTGAGACAATTCATGCACATATAAGTACCCAAGAAATGTTATGAAGGAAAAAGGAACATAGTGATATATATAGATCAGAAAATAGAGTAACTATATTAAAGTCCCTCCTGCTTGGAACGTTTTTACTCAAACCTCTACAAGGCTGCCAACTTGTCCACGGCTTACAAACATTACGTCTACCATCTTTTGAACTTTCATATGGACAAGCATAGTGCTTTACATAAATGAAATAACTTAATCTTCTTTCCAGCCTGTATAGCCCTGTATATATTATTACCTTTACTTTACAAGAGGAAATTGATGTAAAAGCTTGAATAGCCTATCTAAAATCACACAGATAGAAAACAGTGTGAATTCTACCTATTCTCTCTACCCAAACTGCTCTTTCAAAATGCAGTTAGGAAATCTTCAATAAGAACTAGAATAGTGTGGCAGAAAAGAATTACCCTTACTTGTAGTCGTAAGAATTGGGCTCCTACTATGGAGGTGATTTCAGACAAGTCCTTGTATTACTAAGAACTTAAGTTTTCTGAACTGTGTCAAATTTGGGATGCCACCAACCAGTCTCAAGAGAATGTCTGCTAGCAGCTGGTGACCACGACCTTACTTTTTAAAGGCCTCCTCTTATAATTATTGTATTTTGAGACAATGAATTTGCTTTAAATCATATGTTAACAAGGTGAGAAAACACATGTGCAGGGACCAATAACACTCGTTATTTATATGTTAATACCACATCAAGAGTTAAAACCTACCTAGATAAAATGAGACAAATGGCTACCTGGCTACAAGTCTCCCCAAAGCACCAAGGCCAGACTGGGTTTCTGACTTACTCTCCTGAAAAGAAATGTGACCAATTTTGTCTATTAACATTCACGTTGTCACTTGTCCAACTACTTCTAACTGGGTCTGTGACACCTACATCAATCATACTGGGCTAACAGGACAAGAAAATGTGTATGACCACACCAAATAGCTCCATTCCTCTGGAGAGGGTAACCCAAGCTCTGACTCTATCTAGCCGAGGATCAAAACTGCTACGAAATGTAACCTGGTTCTTACTCCTGCTTGGGCTCCCGGTTACAAAAAATTATTTTATTGATATTTGGCCCCTGATTTTTTCAATCTAGATTATTAAGTTTGTCTCTTCCAAATTATAACAGTTTTGCATCAAGATGACAGTGATGGAGAGATACCAGCCACTCCTCAGAATAGATCCTGCCAAAATAACAAGTCACCCGGGTCCCTTGGTGAGACAGAACAAGAGCTCCGTGACCCCAACTAGGTAGACTGTATGAGCTCCATGTCAGTCTAAAGAAGCTAGAGAAAACAGACCTTTGCCCTTCATCCTCCCAATACAGATCTCTTGGGGTTCATCTCTCTCAGGGGGGATTTGAGGCAGACATTACTTTGCCAACAAAGGTCCGTTTAGTCAAGGCTATGGTTTTCCCAGTGGTCATGTGTGGATGTGAGAGTTGGACTGTGCAGAAAGCTGAGCACCGAAGAAGTGATGCTTTTGAACCGTGGTGTTGGAGGAGACTCTTCAGAGTCCCTTGACTGCAAAGACTCTGATACTCTGACCACCTGATGCGGAGAGCTGACTCACTGGAAAAGACCCCGATGTTGGGAGGGATTGGGGGCAGGAGGAGAAGGGGACGACAGAGGATGAGATGGCTGGATGGCATCACCGACTCGATGGACATGGGTTTGGGTGGACTCTGGGAGTTGGTGATGGACAGGGAGGCCTGGAGTGCTGTGGATCATGGGGTCACAAAGAGTCGGACACGACTGAGCGACTGAACTGAACAGTTTCTCCCCAGTGGACAGAAACTCTATAAATAACAGAAACTCCATAAAAGCAGGACAAGGGAAGAGTCTGGGCCCCGGCCCAGGTAAGATATAAAAGATTACTTATTCCTCATTCTTGAAGTCAAGGAGACCTTGCGGACTACACATGAAAGGCTCCTTAGAGGTCAAAAAGGGAGGAGGCATCACCTCACAGTAAGTGATGTCAACTACCCATAAGCCTCTGCACTAGAATCCATCTTGGCTAAAAGATGAGCAGGCACACATGGGAAGTTCCTAAGCTATACTGAATATAGACTCAGAACCAGGCAAATCAAAATGACTGGTCAAATGAAACCCGGAAGAAATGACTCCTAAAAAGTAATTCAAACTACCATGAGGGAGCAATTCTTTTCTGCCTAATAAATACATGTTTCACTTTAAAAAAAAAGAAAGAAAGAAAGAATTGGATTCCTACCATCTAAAACCCTGGTCAAGCAGCTTAATCTCCCTAATCCAAATTTCTTCATCTGCAAAATGATAACAGCTTGCCTTATGAGTGGAGACCTTGCCTACAAAGATTTTAAGCTCCTGAAGGGAGGGAAGGGAATGCCATACTAACTTGTATTTCTCACAAAATATAGTATGTATTCAACCAGTAGGTTTATTTTTTTTTAAGAGCTCTCTAAAATCAAAATATCTTCCCTAAAGACTTCCCTAAAGCTACAAATTATGGTGATTTATAATCAAAGAATTTCTAAAATTTTAAATTCCTTCTGTAAGCCCTGAAAATATTTCACCTAATTTTAAAACATCAGGACTTACTACTTTAGGAAATAATTTAGCTTTATCAATACTGTATTTCATTCTAATGTTTTCTCAATTATTCTCTGGGTACAAGAGATAGAAAATTCAACATTTTATTAGCACAAAATCCAGTTTCACAATTTAACAATTCCCCAAATTTTAAGGGGCAAGCACATCTCTGGAGGTGGCAAAGAATCATCACCCTATTGCCTGGAGAATCCCAGAGATGGGGTCACACAGAGCCGGACACAACTGAAGTGACTTAGCAGTAGCAGTAGCAGCATGATAATAAAGGGATTTTCTTAGGGGTCCCTCCAGTGGTTAAGATTCTGTGCTCCACTGCAGGGGTTACAGATTTGATCCCGGGTCCTAGTTGGGGAACTAAGAGCCCACATGACACAGGACATGACAAAAGATTTTAAAAAATAATAATAAGCTGACTTTGAAATAATTTATAATAATTAACCAAGTAACACTGAGCTCCTTATGTAATATGATCTATTGAACTTTATGGTCTTGAAGCATAAGGTACAATTTAGCATAATGAAAGCTGTGAACACAAGTTTTTAAAATTTTTAAGTAACAGAAGAGCCATTTTTTAAAATTCCTTGAAAGAAGCTGCTTTGACTAAATATCTGTACTTTCTGCCAGTATCTATAATTCTTTGTAGAAAGCAGCTCTTTTTGCCCTATATTAGTTTCTAAAATCCATAAAAATCAAGGAATTCAAATTCAAAAGGGCAGGGATTCCCCCGGTGGTCCAGTGGCTAGGACGCTGGCCTCCCAGTGCAGGGAGTCCAGGTTTCATCCCTGGTCAGGGAGCTAGATCCCAGATGCCCCAACTAAGACCAGGTGCAGCCAAATAAATAAAAATTAAAATTAAAAAGTTTTAAAAGGGGCGGGCAGTGAAAAGATCAAGGATCTATGGCAGGATGTGAATTTGGACATCACGGGCATAGAAACACTGGTTCTTTTATCATTTCTGATAAATTTCGACTTTCAAACCCCCTACCTTCATGCATGGGCAAAAAAAAAAAAGGTGTCACATCAATTTCTACTTCCTGACCTGTTTGGTGAACACCCTTTACGTTTTATTACCTACGCTGGAAATCCGGAATTACGGATATCCTGGGTTACTTATCTCGCTGCTGAACTAAAACTTTTTTTTTTTTTTTAGAAATCCGCAACATGATACAAGAACAGAAGCCCTCTATCCTGTCTCCTCCATCCCCCAAGAAAAGAACGGGTCCCTTTCAGAGAACAGTCGATTCATTCTGCACTTCGTCGTTAGCATCCCCAGAGTGAACGAAAACTTCTGTGACGCGCAAAGGGGCTGAGGGATACGGGCGCCTCGAGGAATGGCTTCACAGTCAAGGCTCAAGGGACAGTGACACGAGACAACCACCGAAAACAAGCAGCGCGACGGCGCTGGAGGGCGTGGCAGGAGAACCGCAACGTAGCGCGCTGCCCGCACACCATTCATTAGCTCGGGGAGGCGGCGGGGAGGTGGCCGCTGGGACGCGGGCCACACGGCCGGCCTCGCGCCGCCTCGCGCGGAGCCCGGCGGCCTCGGCGCCGCGGAGTCCCCGGCCCGCTGTCCCCCGCACCCTGCGGGAAGATCACACCGTCCCGTCGCCTCTGCCCGGCTCCGTAGGGCCGGGCGCGGCCGAAGCCTCCCTCACCAGTCGCTAGATGAAAATGCGCCAGTGGTCTCCGCGGGGTGGGCGCATGGCCGCGCAGGGACTCATCCTCAGTGAAGGCAGCAGGAGAAAGCGAAGGGCGCCAGTGGAGGCCGGTCCCCAGGCCCGGGTCAGCTCTGGAGGCGGCTGCAGCTACAGCCGCGTCTACAGGCGCCTGGAAGGGGGGTGGGGGGGTGGGTCTGGGAGGAAAGGCTGGCGCGGGCGGGACCTAGGAATAAGACGGCCGCTGATTGGCTGGGGCTCGTGTATGCCTCTTGAGGATTGGCTAATGTCTGCCCAGAAGGCCTCGCGTGGCAGCACCGAAACTGTGGCCTTTCCCTGGCGCCCTAAAGGAACTTGACCCCGCCGGCCTTGGGACTGCCTGCGCTGGCGGGTGGGGGGGGTGCCGAGGGGGACGGGGTGGGGGAAGGCCGCGGTCGGGGACTCTTAAGCCAACGCGGGGTGGTGAAAATGTCCGTCCCACGGTCAGCTGTCGCCCAAGGGGAAACCGTGTTCGCCCCCATAGCTGGAAACTTGGCAGTTCACGATAAACCCTGGTGGAGAGACTGAACTTTGGGAACCTGGACGGATGCCTTGGTCACCACGCAACAGAAAGCAAAGGCGTAGGCATCTGGCACCTGAATTTCCTCCCCGACGCCCTACCAGGGGGGTCACTGAAAAGCTCAGGGCGCGGTCTGGCAGAGAGACAGCCTCGCCCCTCCCACACCCAGATGATCGCGGGGTCACTCCCTGGGTCAGAAGGCATCATGGACTTCCTAGATCATCGCTGTGCGGGTCCAGCCGCCGACCCGGGGCCCGCCAGTCACCAGCTCACGCCACTCTGCCTGACGCCAGGCTGGCACTATGCACCCCCCCCCCTTAACTCTGCACGGAAGGGCAGTTTTTTTAAATGGTCGCGTGAAAAATGTGGGAGGAAAAGCAAGCAGCCAATAATCGATACTAGGGTAGCGAAAAAGAAACACCCTGCCTGGGAATGCCTAATACAGTAGGCGCCCGGTCAGTGTTTATTCGGGGAGGGCTGGGTGACTCAGAACAAACAACACGAGGAGTCAGGAGGTAGCTGGGCGGCGCTGCCACGTGGTGAGTTATACAAGCCATTGAGTCTCTCTCATCTGTAAAACGAGAGAGTTGGACTAAACTAAATGTCTTGTTCGGGACAGCCCATTCAGCGGTACTCTTTCTGGAGCCTGGCTTGTGGAAGCCCGAAGACACCCAGCTGGTTAGTGAAGAGAATAACTAGCTCCGTTCTGTCTCTTTGTCCCTTATTCTAGGTGCCCTTCTTTGACAGGTAACAACAACTAGTTTATAATGTAAGCATTGAAGTGATTTTGAAAATAAGCTATGTATGACGACTTTTATATTCATGCACAAAGAAGCTAGCAATGCCAAGTAAAATAATATAAATAAATGCACTGACCAAAGATGAAATATTTTATCAGTCTCTGGACAACTTAATTGGCTTTTTGGAAGCCTCTGTTTCCTCATTTGTAAAATAGGAGCAACACTGCATATTACCGTTGTGAAAATGTAATTATATAGAGACATATTGCACTTAGCAGAGTGCCTGAAACACAATAACACTTCCTAAATGGTAGATGTTACTTTTTATAAATAAGAAGTATTTCCTCAGCAGTGGAATTATTCTAGTTCCATTGCAATTATTCCATTCATTTTAACAATAGCCGGTGTCAGGCACTTGTAAACAATAGGGATCCGATTAGTGAACAAAACACTTACATAGACCCAGATAATCCCACACATAAGAATTGTTTGCAACTTGTACAAAAACTGCAAATAATACTATGATAAATTGAAGCTCCCAAAGAAGTGACACTTGAACTAAGATTGGAAGAATGAGTATATGATAAGATGAAGCAGGTGAGAAAGAACACTGCAAGCCAAGGGATGTGAGATTGCTCCTCATTTCCCTGGAAGATTAGATGTCTTCAAAGATACTGGTAATTTGCAGGATGGAATACTGCAATGATTAGGAACTAATACAAATAAAGGAACATGAAATGAAAAACGCATTGGCGATGTGGTTAGTGAAGGAAGAGATCAAAATTAGCCATTAAAAAAAAAATTCTCTTTGTGCTGACACATAGAAGAAGAGAGAGAACTATACCAGTAGCAATTTTGTGTGGTGGGTTATTGGTGACTCTTAATTTCTATCATGTTGAATTTGTCATTTTTATTTGCAATAATTAAAGTTACTTCATTAAGTTAAAAAAAATGGCAATTTAGAAAAATAGTTGACTGGAATCTCCAAAGTAGGCTTAGGAAATTCCCTGTGTGGTCCAGTGGTTAGGACTCTGTGCTTTCTCTGCCGAGGGCCTGGTTTCAATTCCTAGTCAGAGAACTAAGAACCCAGAACTCATATGGTATGGCCAAAAAATAAACAATTTTTTTCAATTAAATTAGGCTTAAAGCAAGGAATCTAAGGATGGCTTTAGAAGATTACAGTGATTTAGAGGCAGAGAAGTAGGAAAATAATCCAGGCATCAGGAATGGAGCTTGAGATGAGGCCAAGACAGAGCATCACAGATGGTTAAACCACACCATTTCCAATAAACTCCATAAATGCCACTTTCCCCATGTTAATTGTGCTATCCTTCATAATCAGAGTATATTGTGCTACCATTGAAGTTGTACAGTGACAAGGAATGCAGTACTGCCCCAAATTCAGCTGGTGACAGAAGAAAGAATATCAGAATTCGTATGCTTGCAATGAACCAAAACCCAGACCTGCTCAGGTTTTGCAAGAGTGGTTATCACTACTGGAAGATCAGCAATGCAGCTGGCCTACAGATGACGAGAACTTTATTGTTTGACCTGATTTTCTTTTACTCCAAATTGCCTTCCAGGTAAGAACACTTGGCTGGAAGCAGCTTACTGACACCCACCTCGGCTTTGCCACTAGGGAAGACAACACTGAGCCCTCTGCATCAAGCACAAAAATCTCAGGGCCCCTGATGTACCCTGAAACCGTCTCAAATTAGGTGAAGTGTAAGGGCATCATGACTGACAGCCTTTATTAGAGTTCTATAGTGACTCAGTGGTAAAGAATCTACCTGCCAATGAAGGAGACATAGGTTCAGTCCCTGAGTCTGGAAGATCCCCTGGAGAAGGAAATGACAATCCACTCCAGTATTCCTGCCTGGGAAATTCCATGGACAGAGGAACCTGGGCTGGCTACAGTCCATGGGGTCTCAAAGAGTCAGAAATGACTTAGCAACTAAACAACAAATAACTGAAGCAGAATGACAAATAGTTCCCCAAAAGAAGACAGGGTACAATGGCAGATAAAATTAGATAACTCTAGGGTGTTTCTGTGCTTTTAGATCCAGGGGTTATGGTCTCCACTGCATGCTTCCAATGGGAAAATTATCCTTCTAATTCTCACTTAAAGGAAGCAACCTCCTCACAAATATGTGACGCCTTCCCTGATGTCCTTTCCTAACAGTTATCCTCTCTTCTCTACTAGTTCTATAGCTTATTAATATTACTGTGTCACACTGGGTTGTTTTTAAATTTATTAGTTTTATATGTGGGTGCAGTACAAGCAAAGGTCCTAAAGGCAAACTGTCTGAATATAAAAATTTCCTTTTATTATTACTAGCTGTGAGACCTAAGGCAAATTATACAACCACTCTAGGCCTCAATCTCCTCACCTCTGACGGGATTAACAGTACCTCCTTCATAAAGGCCTTATGAAGTTTAATGATTTGATACAAATCTCAGTACCGCTGTTAGTGGGCCTAATAAACATTGATATCCCTGAAGTCTTCTGGATGAATATGTTTGCATGAGTGAGTTTGAGGGGTGGGATTGGGAGACCCAAGAAATGACCCACAAGATGGCAATGTTTGGATGTAACTTTAGAAATATACAAGCTTCAAAGTAGAGTTCACCAATAAATCCAAAAATTCAAGGCAAATACTTGAGAAATTCAAGACCATTTCAAAGCCTACATGAGGCAAACAAAAGTTGTGAGAGATCAAATCTATGGATTTGGGAAGCTTAGTATTCTTTTATAATCAGGACAAAACTATTCCCCCTTTACTACGAGAATTTGTAGCGCTCCTTTCTTAGCCCAACTTAACTTAGATTTTCTTGTGTTCCTTCTTTGCCTAACTATGTGATTAAATCAGATTATCACCACTTCTTCTTTAAGAAGAGGGAGTGGCAGGAGAAGGAAGAGGAGGCAGGGGATTGGGGAGGAGGAGAAGAAAAGCAAGTTGGATTTAAAATGGCAGGCTGGGCACATACTGCATGCCACAAATCTCTAGACCTGGCAGGAAAAGCATCTTTAAAATTGAATTTTAAAATTCATAAATGAGTGCATTGGAAAATAAGAACGTTGGCTATTGATGGTCCAGAACTTAGGAGGGTTCTCTGAAAGATGAATAGGAGGCTGAATTGGACAGAAGAAAGTAGTAACAGCCCCAAAACAAGACAGGACTGCTACAAAAGACAACAGCAGTGCAAAAGTGTTCCACAGCCAGGGTGGCTATCAGCAGAAAGGAATTCATACTAAGCCACCAAGTGATTAACTGGACTATCACAGCAGGAGCAGATAAGCTAACTGAATCTTCCTTAGCCTCCCTCTTCAATGAGCACAGTTGGGATATCTGCCTCCAGGTAGAATATTGGACCTTCAGTCTAAAAGACAGGACAGTGGCCATGTGGAAGATGAAACCTGGAGTAATCAGGAAACTCTTATACCTCAACACTAGCTACTAGCTCTTCCTGTTCAGCAACATGACCCACCCCTTCCTCATACCCCTAAAGCAAGACAGGTATTCAGGTGTGGCTACAGGTCTTATTCCTCCCCACCACAGACACAGCCTCCTCCACAAACAATAGTGTTCTAATCTCTTTTGTGCACAGATGAGCACAAAATTAAGAATCAGCAAATATTTAAGGGAAACTAACATTGTGAGAAATAGGCATTTACAGATCCAAAGAAGCTCAACAGAACCTAGGCAGAAT